TCGATAAAAGCAGCGCCCCGGTAACGAAGTTTACCGATGTCTCTTTGCACGGTACAGCTTAAAACACGAAGTTTCCATATCGTCCGGTAAGCGAGAGCTTCGCGGCAACAAATTTTACGACGACGATAAAATTACACGACTACAGCGCGCGCGGACGGGGATCGGTTAAATTACGTACAACGCCCGGGCGCTTTTCATAAACTTCGCGAAACTTTTAATACACATCCTGGTAGGCGTGCTTTATAATGTCCGGGGCCGACCAATCGTTTCCCACCCCCACCTCTCCCCACCTTTCTACCCTTACCCCTCCACCACCTCTCGCGGAAAACACCCTGATACTAGTCTTTTTTTATTCTGAATGCTTACTAATCATATGCATTTACATTTATATTTTTTGGAAATGTTTATTTGTATGCATACTTGTGTTTACCTAAATAAAACAGACGTGTTACAATTTACCCCGGGCTGGGGCACATTGTAACAAAACTTCAGATTTGTTTAAGATGAACATAGATGTCTAAGTATCAAAGATTTTGTCACATATTTACACTCAATGAGTTCATCAAAGACGTGAGCAGTAAGTGACACAAATTATTTCCTGATTGAGGAAAAGACTTTTGAGAAAAAATTGTGAAAACCTTTTTTGTTACAATCTGCACCGGTCTCCCATAATCAGCGCGGGAGCCCGAAGATCAGATCTCCGGCTGTGGTCGACGTGTTCCGGGCGTTCGTATTCTTGTCCAGGACGAACGGAGGTGCAGGGTAGGAGTTGCTTTATATGCACGAACCGGCCCGCTTATGGATGCAAATACGTTCCGTGAGCGAACCACGCGCGCGGACAGCGAAATGCTCTCTGTTGCAATTCGTGGGCCAGAGACGCTATTTCGCGCGGCTGGATTGCGTTATAATTGTACACCCGCGAACGTACGTCCGTGTAAACAGCATTGATAAAGCGGGCCGCCGACGATGTCGCTTGGAAAAAAAAATGCAGGGAACGAAGTGTGAGCCCGTCGTCGTGGCTCAGCTTATGAAAAAGTATAATACGTTTGGAGAACGCAGGCCGACTTGGACGACTGTTTTAACGGGCTTCCCGCGGTACATTTGTCCGACCGAAAGGCGATCGCGCCGCGACGGAGCTTCCCTGGTCGTTTTAAAATACACCTGGGAATGCGTCTGACTCGTATTACGCGGGAAATAGCCGTCACGCGGCGGGTTTCCGTTGAGAAAGATGAATATATACGCTCCGACGCGAGTATTTTCATAGTCTAGCTGGAATATTTACACATTGGAAAAAAAGGCTGCAGAAAGGTATCGGTTTAGAGGAAACACTGTTTAAATAATTATTCAAATTCTTTGTCGAGTATCACTGATTGTCGAGAAAACAAATTAATAATCTCTATCATCAAAATATATCACATTTGTTTCCACAAGGAACTTCATATCCAACTCTCATGGAGCCTTTACTGCAATAAGAAATGTGACATTTTTAACTCGTGTCGGTTTTCTTCCAAAGTAACGATATGCATTAATATTAGGTCACGTTGTATGGGTTGGGAGAGGAGGAATCGTAGATGGACAGGGCTGTTGATCGAAAATATTCAATGTTCTGTGCTGAGACCATCCAACACTCATCGACGATTTACTGTATTCTCTTCGAAAGTATCATCGATTTCCCTTTTTCCTTGTACCAAACAGTGTGTCACGAGCGTATTAAAGCATAAGATCGAGAAGAACCATTTATCGCAGAATTCAAGTAAAAGCAAGAACTCGAGTCGACGCTCTAGAAAAAGACGAAATTCGAAAACAGGCAATGGCTCGGAACGTTGTCGTAAATCCGACAGGCTACAAGAGGCGGTAAACGGTAACCGGCAATCTACCGGTTTGCAGGAGATCGAACCACGGGATCGGGAGGGGAAGGCTGGACAGAAAAATAAATACCAGGGCGAGTGGAAAGCGGAAAATAAGATCAATATCGGTCCGCGACAGCGGGGGCATTTGCTCGGTAATGAACCGTTCCCGGGACGGTCGAAGTAAATCGTCGTACGTGGATCGTAGGTACGGTCCCCCGTGACAAACGACGGCGACCCTTTCTTTCTTTTCTTGTTCTTTTCCGACGTTTTACACGGTCCCCACCCGGAGGGCACGCTGGTTCGCTCTTTTCGGCGACAAGGTGGGCTCGTTAAGGAACCGTACCTGTCCCCAATTCTCGGACTGCGGTCACGCCTACCGCGTGTACGTGGGATTTCGCGCAGAAGAATCGGAAACGGCAAAAACTACGCCTCCAATAGCGGAGATACTGTCCACGGAGGGACTAGGATTGGAAATGGTCTGCTCTGGTAAGCTAGTAACTCGACCTTGTTGGATTAACGAGGGTCGATTTGGAAATTTGTTCCGAATGGAGGGTCTGGCTGGTTGAGAGAGGCGAGGAAAGCTCTTTGTCTGTCGATTATGGAATACCCTTGAACGATAACTGTCTATGGAACATTATCTTTTTTTTTTATTTTTATTGAGTGTTTAAGGGCACCTTTCAAGGTTATTACCGATCACGGTTGGGTTACTCAATGGGATAGAACGTATCTCTAATTTGTGGTATAAGTCAATATCCTTCAGGATGTTTAGTGGATTTTGTTAGTTATGTTGTTATCCTCTTTATATTTCATTTAAAGCAGGTGACTACGATGTATTGAACAGAGTTTACGAACACGATGTTTATTCTACATATCGCACCGTAGTAATAAAAGTGTCACAAGTAGTAAACATGTAATTCTTCAGGGGAGCGAGAAGAAACGAATTCGTTAGGTAATATATGAAATATTAACATTATTAATTTAATACTAGAACTATCGAGGACAAACGTATATCGAAAATATGCGTCATATGAAATATTCAACTTCAACTAATGACATTTATCTATACGGTGAATTACCTGTTAGAAGATATTTGACGTAATACAATGTTCGGTATTTGGACATAACACACACTTGGTTCACTTGCACTTAGTCTTTACTGTTCTCGCCTCAGAGTCTCGAATATTACTATCCCTACCACCCCGTAGGTACGCCTTTACGTATCGTTCTTGAGCGGTGGTGAGGGATCTGTTTTCCCTAAGACCTGTCACGGTCATATCGACAGCTGGATCCCAGAGCCAGAGTATATTAAGTCACACTTACCAACATTTAGAGGAAATGAAATCAAAGTTGTAACAACCTAGTAACTTTTAAACTCTGGAACTAAGAGAAACAATAGCTACCTTCGAACTATGGATTTAAGTCTGGATATGTAGAAATGGTAAACACTGTATTAAATTCCCTATGTGATGGACTTTACATTGTTTGGCTCGAGAGAAGATATGGATTTGATATAATTTTTACAGTATTATATTAAAAACTAACCAACTTAGAGCAAAATAATTTTTACCATCAAAAAGAATGGAAAATTTGATACAAGAAACGTAAAATGTCATTTTTCAGAAATAATGGACTTAATACGAATCTGGTCCTAATATACTCTCTTACATCTCCTATACTACAAGTTTCTTACGTGTTCAGGAACGTTCCCTAAAGTTCTTTCGCAATTGCATACGGTTCCCTTATAAGTAACCCACGGAAATATTGCTACCTTCGTATACGAACGTGGGCGCCCCGGCGAAGGAGCCGTTCAAGAATATATATACGTGGGCGCAATCCCCGTTGATATTTCCGGGAAGATATTTCAGAGGTTTAATGCGATATCAGAAATATCGAGGTCGACGTCCGGAACCCAGCGGTCCCGCAGACGAAATAAATAGGAATAATATTTACGTTCCAGGGGATACGTGGACGTGGAAGGCCACCCTCGACCGCGGACTTAACTCGAAACAATATATCGGCCAACGGCGAGCCACGGGTAAATATTTCTCTGAATGTACGGCAAACACGTAACTTGGGGTTCGGGGCCTCGGGTGGGTTTTCTTAAAGGCGTAGACGATACGGTCGGATCCTTTCGTCGCTCGACGGAACTGTCGCGAGCATTCCCGAAGACGATAAGGAAGAACAAATATACCCGGTTATCTTGACTGGAGCCAGCATCGTGTCTCTCCCCGTAGACCACTGGAACAATTTTCCGCGGTTTAAGCGTATAATGCAAAAAACGCGATAAAAGACTCGCAGAGAAACCGGGGTATACAGTCACCGAGTACACTCCCGTTCATAAGTCAACCTGGATACTTGATAAACGAGAATGTCCTGAACCTTTAAGGCCTTAAGGACACGAATCGTGAATACGTCGTTTCTTCTTTCGTAATTTTAAAATACAGCAGCAGGCTTTCTGTTTATCTTTTAATTTCATGATGTTCTATTTTTAATGGCAGGCTGGTAGGAGGAAGAAAAGTATATTTCCAGTGAAAAAGATTTAAACTAAAAAGCCTGCTGCTGTCCTTTAAAATTGCGAAAAAAGAAATGATGCATTCACGATCCGTGTACTTAAGAGTTAAATGCAACGCAAAATTATTGTATCGTTTGGTGTTCTCCCGTCAATATCTCCATTTAGGAGCCAATAAAACACTCTTCGAACGAACAACTCGCGAACCCGTTGCTTAAAATCCGCATAAGGATAAGTTTCCTCTTTCGCCAAGAACAACAGAAGTTCCCCGTTATTTTCACGCAAGAACCGCCGTTTCAACGATCGAATGAACCGCGATAAGCTCGCCAACACCGCGGTTCATTAATGCCACATCCGCGTTAAATTACATTCCGTTAATTCGAGTTCCGAGCATCGCCATCGATTTACCCCGTTGGCCCGCGGGCAAAGAGATATCAGGATCGACGTTCCTCTCGTAGGCAGGACAAGAAAGAAAGAAAAGAAAGCAAAAAAAATAAAAAAAAAAAAAAAAAAAAAAAAAAAAAAAAAAAAAAAGAAAAGAGGAAAATCGTAAAACCGGAGTGTTCCGGGTGCAGGCAATTCGATCGACAGTGGCGAACGCCCCAGTCGGAGAACTCGCTCGAAATAATGAAAATACTTACGAGCTAACGAAGGTCGGAAATGGATCGCTCGCTGATAACTCAGAATGGCCTCCTCGTAATTCTTTCGGCCCTGCTGTAAAATTCCCCTGAAACAGAAAGGGCGGAACCGGTCGATTAGTAAAGGTGACTTACTCTCTTTCGTTATAGAATTTTCGCCCGGTGGCGGTCCCCGTGATTAGTCGACGGGGCGTTCTTTTTATTTTTAGCTATTTGTTTTTTCTCTTTCTCGTCTACCCTCTCTCCGCTGAACGTCGAAAAATCGTATCAAACCGTTTCCATCTATAACAATTTCCCGTATCCCTCTTTCACGGCCCTCGCGTGCTAAACGATTAATCTTCCTTCGAGCAATGTCACTCTCAGAAACGATAAAAATATTGCTTGTCAACCGATGACTTATCGCGCCCGAAGGTCGACCGACGAAACGGGTCGGCAGGTGGGTAGGGGGGTGCGGCACGCGGACCCGAGGCTCTGGGATGGCGCCCGCCCAATAAACGAACTTTATAACGCTTATACCGGTGGCAGGAATGGGGATGAGACGTTTGTGTGTGTGCCATCCTGGCACATATTTTTTGGGAAAAATTCATTTTAACTGGGTGCCCCCCGCGGTGATTAATCGCGCCTCGAACGTTGTCACACGGATGAAAACATCAGTCGTCGAGGTGGCGGATGATTTACCGAGGGGGGCTGGTCATTTCGAGAGACTTTTCGCGATTCTGTCAGGAATATTTTTTGTCTGGAATCGAATGTAGCAAGAGTGTAGGAGTATGAGTCTTTAGTTTTTAGGATTTGTTAATATTTATGGCAGGGCCATTCTGTAGAACCGATGGTCTACAGGCGCTGCACTGCGATCTCGTGCAGAAACGTCTGACTTCTTTTAGAGGTAGTATTTATGGGTAGTTTTAAGGGTATGAGGGGGATAGAGAGCACACTTTTACACTGTAGATGTCCATCGTGGATGATTCATCGACAATCCATTTGATTCATCACAAGCAGAGACTCTGGCTCTACTTTGTTAACGATTTTTGAATTAGAATGACATTACTTAATCGTTCCTGATCTGTGAATCTATACCCAAACTGAATGTACTTCGAGACCAACAGCCGAAGTGTTAATTTACAATACTGTAAATTAATCACAGACTTCTATATAGTATACTAAACTGCTAACTTATATAAAATGAAAGATTAGAATTATAGGTTAGAATAACTGTGTTATGAAGTCTTGTTCTGTGTCTGCTATCACAGTGTTTCTGCCCATATGTAGAATGAAATGTATTTCGAAGAATATGTTTTTTGAAGACATTCTATATAAGAAAGTTAGCAGTCTATACAAAAAGACAATTTATACACTACTAACCAGTTTACCATAAACACGATACAAAACTTTCTAACACTATTCAGAGCGACGATTCATCGATACCGAAAAAAGGCAAGACTACCCCAATAATTCCACGGTAAGCAGCGATCCTATAAACGGCAAAACTCCGGATGTAACGATCCAACCGTCGACAAATGAGCCGACCACGATCCATACCGAGTAACCCCACGATTCTCGTAATCGCGTCGAGAGGCACGGATCAAAACGTTCGATAACGTAAATTCCATCGGGCCCCGTTAATATCACCGGTAACAATCGCAGTCGCTTCGTTGTTCCCGGATCAATGGTCGGGAATCGCGACCACCACCGCCCCGGTGTCTAGCCGTGGAATTTCATTATTTCAACCAGAGGGACAGGGTGAAGGGGTAGAAAAATCCGTTTCGCCGGTAAAATAACCGTCCCGTCGTTTTCAACTTGGCCGGCCGGGAAAAAGTTATACTAATGATACGCTTTGTGAGCGTTCGAGAGACTAAAAAATAGTGACAGAAGGATGGGGATGGCGAAAGACAAAAAAAAAAAAAGAAAAAAGGCAAGTGTCGTCAGAACGAGGCGAGGACAGCGCGGAGAACAGGAAAGAGAACAGGATATTTCCCTTCCGGACAAGCGAACCAACCCCCCCTTCACCCGTACCGAAGGAGTTTCCTTGTTCGCTAACGAGACGGCGCCGCGCGTTCGTTAACTTTCAAGATGAATATTCGCGCAATATACAATGGACTCTTTTTCTCTCTTCCGCTACCTATTACAACCCCCACCCCAACCCTCCTATACCACAACCTGTTCCCTTACTTTTTTTCTCTCTCTTCCCCCCCCGTAACAATCACTCCTCCTTTGTACCAATTGGCGATTGTCCGGCAGTGTTCCTCTGGAATTTATTATTCTAACCTCGTATCTCGTCTATCGCGGCCACTCTTAAAGGACACGCTGCTAGAATCCCGTTCCATGGGGAAGGGGAAGGGGGGCGTAAAAACGAAAAATCACATGCGTCCAGAAACATTTTAAACCACGGTGGTGGTGGGAGGTGGACGTTTCAAAGTCCTCCGGTTTAACGACCGTGCACGGAGATTTCGGGATATGTTTGCCGATCGGAGGGTACCCTCCACCTATAGTATAGTTATACGCCTCTCCTCCCCTCCACAGAGAGCCGATTGCGTTCCCGGCAATTTATGTCGCACTAAGCATCCAGCATTGTTCTCGTTATTCGTGGGTAAAATCTGCTCGCCGGCCATGGTTAAACGCGGTGCCACGGTTTGGGTGTCGAGGCGCGCTTATTTCGAGTAGTTTCGCGTCACGGAACGATGAGGCGTGAACAGGCGGGGGACAACAGAGTATATGTGTGTGTGTGTGTATTCGGGTATGGGCAAACAAACAGACGATCGTTGAAATAAAAACATTGTTCGGAGCATTGTTCCGTGTCTGTTCGAAAAGGGGTTGGTGTAACGAGAGTGCTGGTGGGCGCGCGAGCTATGTAACGACATTTCGGGATGACCGCAGGCGGTTTGTGAGCGCGCTAACCACGATGACAAAAGCAGGCTTTGGGTGTTCCTGGCGGTGGACCGCCACCACGATAACGCCGGATCAAGAGGGGACTGCAACCTCTGGCCCCACTTTGAAGGGGTCTTAATCTAAGCATTCGATTTATGTCAGAAAATAATTGAATGAAGTTTGGTTTACAATATTTCCTTCTTGAAATAATTAGAAATAGGAGCAAAGCTATGGAAATATAACGAAGCATTGTTCGTTATAATCAAACGTTCGTTACGGGGAAATGGTATTTAATTTTATTTACATCAAATTTCAATTTTTCAAGATTTGAAGGTATGATAGCTCCAGACCCAAAAAATTTTAATCCGAGACTCCATCACTCTCATGCTCGTCGAACATATTATCGTCGTCGAACGTCGGTCGTGACCGCGAAAATTGAACGAGGGGACGATACGTGACAATGGCGAAGAAATTTTGGGAATGAAAGAAAAAGAAAGGAAAGAGACGACCAACGGAGGAATACAGGTGGAACGGCATTTTTTCGCCACGCGTAACAGAATATCCCAGGTGTCCCGTTTAGGTGTCGCGCCAATAAAACGGGCACGGTCGTAAAGCTCGCCGCCGTTCAGCATAACGCTCGACCACCACACGATAAACGCACGCCACGAGAGTAAAGTTGCCTGCGCGCACGCGTCATGGAACACATAGAACGACGAAATATCGCCGCGGCCTCGAAACTGAAAATACCACGGCGCGTTTGCCTGGCTCTCGTGCTGAATAACGGCGTGACGATACGTGTGACGCGTTTATGGGGTGGGGGGAATGCTCGTCGAGCCCTGTTGACAACGCCGAATAAAAATATTCCGCGATCCTGCCGGCGAACAAAAGCCTACCCCCCGAACAGGGATCGCCAGCGACGCTTTTGAACGGCGCGCTGTCGCGTGGCATGGACGGATAAGATTCCTCGATACGAGCACGGAAAACATGGATTTTTCTACGAATACGAAAGTCGAAGTACAATGGATTTTCTCCGGCGCGATGCATCAGACTTTTTTTTTCGTTCAACGCAATAAAGAGATACATCGACGAATTTCATCTTTTTTTTTCGGAGTGAAATGGTTCATTTATTCTCGTCTGTTTGTAGGAGAGAAATTATAATCGCATGTTTTGTATTCTTGAATTCACTGTATTAAACGAAGATTAACAATTTTATTACGAGCAAGTTCGCCTTAAGAAGTTTTTTTTTCATAGAATATTAAGTAAGGCAAATATTCAAGATCACCATTTACCTGTTCCATCGTGTATAAAATTATCTTCCATCCTATTAACATATTATCATGCGACTAAAGTCAACCACGCTATCTATTAGCATCAACCGTTTCTTTCACCGACAATCGAATTCGACGAAGAACCGTTCCGCGAGATCGACGAAGCTCTTTCAAACCCGAAAAGAACGCGTCCCTCAATCGAAACAGAGTTACACGTGTTTGTCCCGCGTCGCGGCCACTTGTTAATTTATTATCGGCAGCGGTGATACTTTCGAGACGTCGGTTGGTTGACAGCCGCTAATGCGATTGGCGTCGGCGTGCAAAGCGGGGTGAAAGTTTGATCGGTTCCGGAACAAACATCCCTGGCAGGTCCGCGAGGGCGCGTCGCTACTAAAATGTATCGTCGAGCATCGATACTGGTCTTGGATCATCTTTCATCGGCGATCGTTTCATTGAGACATAACATGGCCCGTACTTCAAGGTGTACAGTAAATTCTCGATAAATGCTCAGAAATATTTCTACGTTAAATGATCTTCGTTGGTAGCCAGCAAAATACTAAGACGATCTACCAAAGCTTGGCCTGAAATTTGTGAACTTCAGAAATAATGTCCCTCTACGATAAATGTTCCAAAGCAGTCCCTAGTTTCGAGCATTAATCCATGATTTACCGTATACCGTGGTTGCGCCGGCTTATGGATATTCGACGAACCGTGGACTCGATAATGACGTGGGCGATTTCGATTAGAGTAAAAATCCCAATAAAGACACGCCGCGCCCGGTTTATCGAACTAACGAGTCTGACCGGTATCGCCCGATACTACTGCGGGGATCTCGAAGCTCCCAACACGGACTGGCAGTCGATAACTCGCACGTCCGTGTCGCATTGTTCGCTACGAATATCTGATGTATCTGTAATTATCGCTGCCGGATATTGCGCACAGAGTGTCCGATAATAGCC